AGCAGCTACTGAAAAGCCTAAATTTGGACTTCGGAAAGCTGCCGCTTTTCAACGATTTATGGAAAACGATGACAGTCGTGATGAAGCAAATGCAGATGAGCCAACTTTCAGTGGCGCAGCACTTTTGAGGTGCGGACTTTTCTTGGTTTTGTCAGTTAGCAGACTTGCTTGTCAGCGTGTCTCTGCTAAGAGACATTTATAGGAGGGCAGAAAAGTGTGTGTATTTGTGCAGCACTTGAGTTTTCCACATTTTTAGTTTTTTTCAAATCTTGGTGCTGAGATACGATTTTGGGACAGCAAAATAATTTTTTTATAGTGATAGGACTGTTTTTCCAACATGTGTTTGTTATTTTCTGAGGTTTGGAGGACTTTTATAGACTGGTATATCTGCTGTTCAGTGTAGGAGTAATATCCGTTAGACGTGAGAAAACAGGAACTGACCAAGAACATACTGATCTGAACTAGTAAGGTTTTGCGAGTCCTTTTTGAGGGACCTAATAGTACCTCACAAAAAAAGAAGTGAAATCAGGTCATATCTTTGTTACTAGTTTTTTCGTTTAGAGAGAATAAATCTGACACAAGTTTATTGGACGCAATTCGTCGACGAAAACAGCGTACTTTTGATACTTGGAAGCTGAATGAAGAGCGTGTTGAAGAGGTTCACTGAATTTTTCGATAGTTTATTTCTGCGTAGTTCTGCATGGGATTTTGTTCTCTATGAAAGTTTACAGATTGCTATAGGGGTGTAAAAGGATGCTGTAAACGTTTTAATACTATAAAGTGTTGTGGGATATAATCTATCTCACGAAGCCGGCAGTGCCAGTGCATCCGTAACGCATCTGTGCCGAGACAATGTACAAAGAATTTCGAAACTAATCTATGTGAAGTATTCCTTGCAGTGGCTTTTATACAGCAACACATATATATTTCGATATAATTCATTTAGATTATCAAAGCCCGAAAGGTTATGATTAGGCCAGGAGAAATGTAGCTTTTGTTGGCAAAATTCCTCCACCCATCAGTTTAATGATATACATTTTGTTAAATTTAACGGCACCAGTATTCAGCTGATTTCAGTATTTTTCGTATTATTTTGCAAAAATTGGTTTTAAAAGAAAATATTTTTCAGGATTATCCTTCATTGCACAACGTTTCCACTCAAAAAAGTTCAAAAAAACTTAACAAATATGAAAAATTGGCTGAGGAAATCCGTTCTTTTTTCGCCATTCGAAACGGGACAGCGTCGACTGAAGAGATTTTGCAAAACTTCAAGGTACTGTTGCACTTGTTGGGCACGTGAAATTAATTCCTTTCTAAAATGATATGATTTTTGTCTTATATAAATGAGTTTCCTTTTTTAGAATCGTGTTCCAGTGGAAGATTCATATCAATTTCGTTCTATTCTCAGACGTCTTTGCAAACTGCAGAAGGACACGAGTATCTGGTTTCTCAGAGACGAGTTTCAGTGAAATTTACAGTTTTTGCAATCAATTTTA